AAACCTAAAATAATAATCCCAAAATTTTATAACCTAAAATTATAAGAAGTCTCAAAAAACCAAAAGAATTGCCCAATCAAAGCCCAAGTAATGGTGTTCCCAAATGCAACCATTAAAGTCACCAAAAACCGAACCCATTCATCAAAAATAATAAAGCCCAAATATTCCAATAATTCCAGCAGGCCCAATCACTACAAAACCCAGAGATTCCACAGCCCATCAAATAAGCCCATTACCTTATTAAACTACAGCCCAATCACCAAAGAAATTAAACTAGCCCAAGTAATTTCATCACAAATTAAACCAACCCACCAAATAAATGCAGCCCAAGCCCAATCAATAGACTACTAGCTTTTAAATTTAAATCAACACAAGCCCAACTAATTAAACCCAACAATTATCCAATAACATGATGCAATCACATTTCACAGACAGAAGATGCCGGAAGAATGAGCTCCTAAAACGCAAGAGGCAACCCCTGTGATGCCTACTATGAAGGACCAAGAACTGATCGCTGCCAAACTGAGGAAAACGCTCCTCATAACCACCCAATCTGTTTCTTCTCCATTCTTTAACTGAAATAAGATTATGGCAATGTCGTCTCCAAGGAAACATATTCACAAGGATTATATCAAGCGCGCACAAGCCTATAATCAAAAGAAGCAGGCTTTACAGAAACTTAAACGAAAGGCAGCATTGAGGAACCCAGATGAGTTTTATTTGCAGAGGACCAAAACAAAAAAAATTGGTGTATTCTACAAGCTAAAGAGACGGACAAATAAGTACCCAGAAGATGATCTGGAATATATTTTGCTGAAAAAGGAAATTAAAGAAATAGATGTGGAATTGGAAGAGGTAAACCTTGAGCAGAAAGAGGTAAATCTGGAGTTGGAAGAAATAAATGCCGATATTGAAGTCATGACGAGCGAAGCAGAAGAATTGAGGAAATTATTATATGATTTACGGAAACACAAGGAAAATGCAACGGTGGCCTGTGACAGAGCCATTGTGTGGCAGAAACTCGTGCAAGGGAATAATCTGAAAATTTTGTTCGAGAGGAATTCTTTGGTAACGGGCTGAAACTGGAGAATCTGTGGAAACCGTTTGTAGCAAACGTCAGAAAAGAAAATCAAAAGAAGAAAGACGGAACCCAGAAAATAAAAAATTAACCCTTTTTGTGAGAAGAAAAAAAAAATTTTGGCCGGGCGAGCAGCCAAGGCTGCTCGCCGGAAACGAGATTCAC